TGCCTCCGCCTCCCAAGTAGCTGGGACCACAGGCGCCCGCCACAACGCCCGGCTATTTTTTGGTTGCAGCCGTCATTGTTGTTTGGCGGATCCGGGCTGGGGATTCAAACCGGCCACCTTAGGTGTACATGGCTGGCGCCTTAGCCGGTTGAGCCATAGGCGCCGAGCCTTATTTTAGTTGCTCTTTAAGGGTCTAAACATTTTTTAGTCTTCTGGTTTTTTCCACATCATTTGTGATACTCTACCTCATCTTTTTAATTTTCTAAAACAATATTATTGCCAGATGTGCCTCACACCTGTAATACTAGTAGTCTGGGAGGCTGAGGCAATCCACTGAGACCAGCCTGAGCAAGAGTGAGACCCATCTCCACTAAAAATAGAAAAATCAGCCTATTGTTGTGTTGAGTGCCTATAGTCCCAGCTACTCAGAGCCTGAGACAGAAAGATCACTTGAGCCCAAGAGTTTGGGATTGCTATGACACCAGGGCACAGAGTGAGACTCTGTCTCAAATAAATAAATAAATATAATATAATATAATGTAAAATACTGTAATCTTAGCACTCTAGGGAGCCAAGATGAGTGGATTGCCTGAGCTCAAGTGTTTAAGACCAGCCTAAGTCAGAGCAAGATCTCAACTCTAAAAATAGATGGTAAGCCCAACTACTTAGGAGGCTGAGGCAAGAAGATCACTTGAGCTGAAGAATTTGAGGTTGCTCTGAGCTATGATGCCATGTCACTCTATCAAGGGCAACAGAGTGAGACTCTGTCTCAAAAAAATAATAATATAAAATAAAATAAAACAATATTATTACTATTGCAAGGCCACAATGGTGAATATTTTTACTGATGAATTAATTATATTCTGTCTTAGAGAATTTCTGACTGGTTTAATTCTTAAGTGTTAGTAAATGTAACTACATGGTTCTGAAGAAATGAATTACTTGCACTTTTGCTTATATATATTGCTGTAAATATGAATAATCTCCCAGGTTATATATTCTGAATTTTAACTCATTTTATGTCTGTTCCATAGAGGATGAACCATCTTCCCAAACTGTTTTAAGCCAAACAGTCTCAAAGAAAACTGACAGAAGAATGCAAGAGAATCCAGGTAAAACAGTTAATATTTTGTTTCTGTTTACCTGACAACTTTTTTTAAGTTCATTGAATTAGGTAATACAGATATGTATCAAGAAAAGACAGGGTGGATGCTTAAGTACCTACTCAAAGTACCAGCTACTTTGTATATGTTAATCCATGTAACCTTGCAAGATTAGATATTATACCCATTTCATAGATGAGAAAACTAAGACTCTTCCCTAAGATCAAATACGTGACTGAGACAAAATTTAGACCCAGATTTGTCTTCTCCAAAGTTCTTAATTTCCCCCCAAGTACCTCAATATCACTCTCCCATGTAGTAACTAGCTACTCAGTGAAGTTTGTTACATGTTAAATGAATGAGTATCATACTGGCCTCTATTTAAAATGGATTAAGTTTTCTGAATAGTAAAATCTTGACACATATGATCAATCCTGTGAGTTTAATACTATGTCTTATCTAATCTAAGAAGCCATTAGTTGGAAGATACACATCATTGTTTTATGTACCATCTAAAACAGCAGTTCTCAACCTGTGGATCGCAACCCACAGGAACTGTATTAAAGGGCTGCAGCATTAGGAAAGTTGAGAGCCACTGATCTAGAAGGAAATATGTTAAAGTATAAAAAAAATTGTCTTAGAATCAGTGTAACATGGAAGTAGGCTACATTTAATAGCTTACTTACGTTTTAAAATATTTTGAAAAGCTGGGGAAATTATTAAGTTCAGTTAGGTTCCATTTACTTTCAACCTGCTTCTTTGATATCAGGAAAGTCCTACAGTAATAAGTGATCATAGCTATTGAATTTGATCATCCCTGGTTTTTATTTCCCAGACCCTAACTTATTTATCTATTGCTTCCACAAAGATTATGCTTTATAATTTAAACTACAGTATTCTCAATTTAGAATGAAGTACATCTGGTTCAAGTTCAGTTTCAAATAAACACACCTTTATGCTTAATTCCTTGAATAGCCTATGAGATTATAAACTATCTTAGAAATATACTTTGAATAATGATGCTGTAATCAGATTTTCAGATCATTTGGAAAAACTATAATCTTGGATTTATTTATAAAGATTTAATTGTATGTCTCTTACATTCAAAAAAGCAAAAATCTAAGCTTATAAAAGATTTACTTTGGCTCAGTGCCTGTAGCACAGTAATTATGGCACCAGTCACATATACCAAGGATGGCAGGTTTGAACCCTAGCCCTAAACAACAATGACATCTGCAACAAAAAATAACCGAGTGGTGTGGCGGATGTTCCCAGCTACTTGGGGGAGACCAAGGCAAGAGAATCATTTAAGCCCAAGAGTTGGAGAGTGCTGTGACACCACATCACTCTACCAAGGGCGACATAGTGAGACTCTGTCTCAAAAAAAAAAGATTTACTTACTGAGTTAAGTAAATTGGTATAATAAAGGCTGATGAGTACCAGCTTATAGACCATTATAAAACTATTATAGAATGTTTTGAACAGCCTTTTTAGAGTTTTACTAGGCTCATATTTAAGAACCGCTCGTGAGGTCCAAGGCTGGAAAGTGTTGTAGAAGGAGCACTGGACCTTGGTGAAGTTACCCACCTGTCTTGATCTTCAGGCCTCTCTCTATATTATTTGCCTTGCATAACTTACAAGGCCACTTGAGAAATGAGATAATACATGCAAAATCTCTTTATACACAGTAGAGCATACAGGTAACATACACTTTATAAGAGATAGGAAATGCATAAAATGTTGCTTAAGCACGTCCTTTTTGTCAATAAGGTTATACTATAATTGGAAATTAAAAACAAAATTTTTCCACTGTAGATGACAGATTGAATGGAACCTATGCATAGATTACTTGGGATGTATTGATAGCACACTGTACATTCAATATAACAAAGAATAAGAGTATAGAATATGTCTATCTTGGGGAGATTTGCGATGCTATTCCTCTAAAAGGTGTCTTAAAAAATCATACTGCATGTAATATTTGGTATATTCCCATCCTGTGCCTCTCAATGAAAGGAGAAGGAGTTTAGCAATTTTGGGGGGTTTTTTTGAGACATGGTCTCACTCTGTTGCCCAGGCTAGAGTATAGTGGTGTCATCATAGTTCACTGCAACCTCAGACTTCCAGGCTCAGACATATCCTCCTGCCTCGGCTTCCCAAGTAGCTGGGACTACAGAGTCTAATTATGTTGTTCAGTCTGGTCTTAAACTCTTGGCATCAAGCAGTACTCCTGCCTTAGTTCCCAAAGTGCTAAGATTACAGGTGTGAACTACCACACCGTCTAGTGCTATAATTACATATAGGGCCATTTGTGTGGTTTTAGAGAAATTTATGCAAAAATGCTCTTAGGAATGAAGACCCAAACCAAGCAACCATCTTCTACAACAACCTATAAAAAAACTACATGATTCATTATCCTGTTTTTCGAAGACTTGAAAAATGTTCATTATATTAGTTTAGGGCTCGGCCCCTGTGGCTCAAGTGGCTAAGGCGCCAGCCACATACA